GCTATGCTGCTGGCCATCTTACTGTTTTAAGTTTGACACAATAGACTCAGAGTGTGTCAGCATCCGTGGGGATGTGAATCTTTGTTTGAAGTCAGCGTCTGTCTGAAGGGAAGTAGCCTGGAGAGAGACTGAAGAGAATAGGGAAATGTGCATGAGTTTGGTCACATGCTGTGGTTGAAGAGTTACTCATTTCTAACCTCGTTTGCATACTACTGGGCATGTTTAGTAACACACCGGGAAATATGTCATAATGAATTTTATGTGTGAGGACATGGAGAAAAGGGACATTGTATTCTGTTGGTGGTAATATAAGAGCACTACCCTTATGGGAACACCATGGAGGGTTAGCCAGTGCTGTACACAGAGCTATCAAATGGTGTACAAGTCTCACTTTTGGATAAATATTCAAAATAAGTCAAATCATCATGCCAGAGACATCTAGTCCTATGTTTATCATGGCTATTCACTACAGCCAACAGATGTAGTTAATTTAAATGTTCATCAATGGATGACTACATTTTAAAAATGCAGTATATATACACAACAGAATACTGGTCAACCCACCTCAAATTATCCAATCAGGAGCATCCATCATGGGCACGCTTGGGTTTCAGTCAATTCCAGATATAGTCAAGTTGACAATCAAGATTAGTCATTACACTCCCCAAGTCGTGTTTATTCATGGTGTTTATCACTGGGGTAGAAACAAACTAGAAAGCGTGTTGGGGCTTTGCCTCTCCAGTTATTTGGTGATCCCACTTAGATCACATATTTGTATGTGCAGGCATAATTTCCTGTCCGTCTCAGCCTGGATTTTTGCTCTGCGGCTGCTTGCCTGTGACTGTTGGGATACTGAGGTTCTGTGGATCTGCTCGGTTCCAGTATGATCTAATTTTGTAACCCAGCAAAGCCAGCACTGTGGCCATTTGTGTGAAGTGAAACACATAAGGCAAGCAATGATTCTGAAAATCTCTGCAGAGGAAGTCTGGCTTTGTTCAGTGAAGTAGGGCCATTTCTCTTGCAAGTAAGGCTTAACTTCCAACTTGTGTCGTTTATAGAAAATACTATGAGTTGATCATGGTGCACATACCTGTAATCCCAGTTCTGGGGGAAAGGCGAGGAAGGAGCATCAGGAGTTCAAGATCAACCTAGGCACTTAGTGAGACCCTGTTTAAAATTAAACAACACAGCAAACCTTTAGGTAACTTTACCATTTGAAACTGCTCATTTTCCAAGCATTTTCACTTCCACAATCAGCTCTTCTCTAACTACATAAACAAATACAATGTATGGAGAATTAAGTGAGTAAAGCATGACTTACTTCCATAGCTCTAGCCTGTAGGGACTAATGGGGCCATTTTGAATTGTGACTGAAAGTAAGATTGGAGCTAGTAAGAGAAACAGACAAGTAAAGGGAAGCCAGTAAAAATATTACGAACAAAGTTGTTCACTGATGTACATTTCATAGTAATGAAAAGCTGGAAATATGTATTTATCTATGAGGTCTGGCTATGTAACCTGTAGCATGTATATACTGTAGAAAATGGTAAAAAGTTAAGACAAGGGGCTGGAGAGATGGCTCAGCAGTTAAGAGCACTGGCTGCTCTTGTAGAAGGTAGGGGTTCAACTCCCAGCTCCCATACAATGGGTCACAGCTGCTTGTAACTCCTGTTCCTGGGGATCAGATGTTCTTCACAGGGACAAGACACACACATGGTAAACAGATATACATACAGACAAAACATTCATATGATAAAAATAAAGATACAAAAAAAGAAGTATGTGAAACAACCTTGAAGTCACAGTGTTGAAAAAGAATAGGATAAACTATGGAACATGTCTACTATGAAACTGTGATGGTTTGAATGAGAATGGCCCCCATAGGCTCATCTCTTTTAAAGCGTGGTCCCCAGTGGGTGAACTGTTTGGGGAAGATTAGGAGGTAAAGCCTTGCTGGAGTAGGTGTGTTTCTGGGAGTGGACTTTAAACCCCCATGCCAGGCCTCTCATCCCCTTGTACTGACTTTTGGATCAGGATGTAAAGTTCTCAGCCACTGCTCCAGCACCATGCCTGTCTGCTTCCTGCCCTGATGATCATGGTCTAACCCTCTGGAACTATAAAAGGCCCCAGTTAAGTCTTTTCTTTGATAGGAGTTGCCTTGGTCATGGTGTCTCTTCACAACAATGGAACAGTAACTAAGTCAGATCCGGTGTGTGGGTTTAGGGGGGGGGGAAAGACAAAACAAATCTTTGAATCTGACATAGGTGGGGCCATTCATTGCAAAGGGCATGGGAGGAATAGAATGGACAGCAGGCAGGCAGTCATCTGTGGGCTGAAGAAGGCTTCATGGAGCATTGAGTGACAGGAACTCTTCACTTTTTATTCTGGACTTCTGAAGTTCTGTGCTTGGGGCCTTTATAGAAACCTAGTTATCATTTCATTTTGTAAATAAGATCCAGTTACTGGTCAAGAAAAGATGTGCGACAAAGAGAAATTGGAGCACAGGTGGGATTTGAGGGAAGAGAAGGAAGGCTGGAATACTTGGGGGTAGGGACAATGGTGGTTGTCATGGATGCTTTCATCCTATGATAGTCTCTCAGTGGTGACTTGGTACTCCTGCAAACTTTCCACAGAGGCAGATATAGGTGCACAAGCACACCCCTACACACACACACACACACACACACACACTGTATCCTTCATCTGCATTACTTCAAAATATGAGACCTAGAATACAGGGCCCTCAAATTGAGGAAACGTAAAGACTTTCACGAACAATTTCCATATGTAGTTTCTTTTGACATATTTGAATTTTTATCTTACCAATGCACACATTGAGATAGAGAAATTTCGTATCTCTGGGAGCATGTGTTCATTTCTATTCTTGTTAAAATAATTATGTCCCAGTAACTGAACAGCCACATCTACCAAAGAAGGTTTTTTATCTCCTGCCTTATTTCCAGTTTGTTGGCTCTACTAATCTATACCATAAGCATTTATTAGTGTCTTAAATGCAACTGAAGGCACAGGATATGACAGGCAGACAATAGACAAAACCCTTGCTGTGATGGAGCTTATTGTTGGAAGGAGCTGGCAAAGAATCAGGAAGTGATGTTTCTGTGACGAAAACTGAACAGAGTAACAGAGTAGGGGGAGACCAGGGAACTGCCTTTAGTTAGGAAAGACTTCCTTGAGGAAGTAATTCAAAACTAAGGCATGCATGACAAGAGAGGACCAGGCTGTGTTCACTTGGGGAAAGAACATTTCAAGCAGAAGGTAACCTGCACCCTTAGGGTGGTAAAAATTGAGGATCTAAGAGCTTCTTGTGTTGTTGGGGCTGGCAGAGGCTAAGAAAAATCAATGAGAGCTCTTCAGGGTCATGCCACACCTTAAGGGGTGTGGATCTTATTCTTGGCTTGATGTGAAGCCATTGGGTTTGATTAAGGGAATGAGATGCCAGTTTAGGTTTATAAGGGTTTCTCTGAATGCCTGGGGTTGTGAATGGGAAGGGCAAAAGGAAGGGGAGCCACTCTCCACTGTGAAGGCATAGGTGGGTGTCCGAGAGGGCTTAGATGAGCATGCTGGCTCTAAACTTGCTGATGGATTGAATATGGAGAGCTAAGAAAGCATAGGCTCACACGTGGCTCCTAAATCTTAGGTTGGGGAAAGTAGGAGAAGAGCAGATTTGGGAAAGGAGGCTTTAGAGTGTGATTTAGGCTTGTTAAGTTGATGTTCACCTGGAAAATGTCAGTTAGGTGATATGATAAATTTGCCTGGAGTTGAGGGGACATTGGATAGAAATGTGTCTGTGGGAGTCAGATCCACAGAGTGGGATGATGCTTAACACTCTGGAGTCAACTCTGAATTCTCATATTCAGTTACACTTGTATGAGATACTCTTGTTTGCTGACTGGATTGAATAGAACAAACCTCCAATGTGTCTGTGACAGTCTTCAGAGGGGATTCAGTCATGAGAGTTCTGGCCTAATCTGTGGATTAATCCACTGATGGATTTGAATTTGGGTAGACTACGGGAAAGTGGTTGGGGGGTTGGTAGAAGCAAGTTATTGAAGGTATGCTTTGAAGGCTATGTCTGACTCAGGCCTCATCTGACTGTGTCACACACTCCCATAGCCATGACAAACTGGGTCACTATACCCAGTAACATGAGTTATGTGACCAAGGACTGAACCTTCGAAGACATGAACCAAGTAAATCCTTAAGATGTGTTCTCCCAGGGATTTGGTCACAAAGACATACAACTAATCCATGTGCTGTGATACTCTTCATTAGAGCTAAGCGTGCTCAGATGGACTGCACGAGTACGTGCGTGTGTGCATGCGCGTGTGAAGACTGACTTGGTTGAACCCCTTTGATCTTAAGGCAGACAGTATAAAGAAATGTTTTTTTTTTTTTTGTTTTGTTTTTGTTTTTTTCTGGAGAGAATCTGCCAATGGGCTTCTTACTGTGAAGGTCAACATTTTAACCATCATCACATTCACTACAGCCAAAAATCAGACAGAACCCTTTTAAAGATGAATTCTAGATTCCCAGCATTGTTTAGAAATGTTAGGAACTAATACTGAATTCCTATAGATGTCATGAATATTCAAGTTGACTCAAGCTGCATGGCACCAGGGTCTTAGTGGCTGTCTTCTTTCTTTTTAATGCTCTCTTGCTTTGCTGGAAGGCTAGAACTAATCCCAAATAAAGCGATATAAAAGTATCTTTGCTTTTACATGGCATTGCCATTTTGTATTTGACAGGTAAATTTATCATAATACCTTTGGCATGTTACTATTTTGCATTATTAGTTAATCTTTGTTATTTCTCCAATAAAGTTCACACTTGAAAACACATGGAGAAGTTAGTGTGAGGTATATAGGAAAATGATTTGGTTGCGTTTTTTTGTTCGTTTGTTTTTTACTTGTTGACAATAATGTATAATCCAAAATACAACTGGACTCTCGTTTATCAGGGATGATTCTTGCTCCTTGCAGATAAACTCTTCAGACCTCCATCTGGCCATGTGATGAAGTCAGGGACCATGCCAGGTGGGGCATCAGCCACTGGAGAGCTATTCGTTGAGCACATTCATGCCACTGCTGGAAGGATGGTGTCCCAGGCCACAGACCGGCACAATTCTCCTATGGATCCCTGTGGAGGGACCAGCTGTGCCCGTGAGGATGCTGATGGTTTGCCCCGGCTCCTGGATACTGACCACCCTCCTTGCGAGTTAGACGTGAGGCTCCTGAGGCACAAAGCTTCCTGGATCAACCCAGTGTCTGTGGAGCAGCCCCTACAAGAGTTATGCTCCCAGAGACCTACAGTGCAGAACAGCGGGAAACACTTGGTGGTGGACGCTCCGACGCCTTTGGGCCTTTCACTGTTGCCCTACAGGGACTCCCTAGCTGAGATGACATTGACTGAGAGGACTGTGGATGTCACCTGCAGCTCCTCTGCTCATGGCCCTGGGGGAAAGAACGGTGACTTCTCCCTGGCTCCAGAAGAACAAGAGGTTCAGCCTCAGCACAAATCTCTGCTCAGAAATCCCAAGACTGTGGCCACTTCCCCATCCCCTAAGGAGGACAGTGCCCGTTTTAAGTCTCCTCACTTGACAGCCTCTGCAGGTAAACCTGTCTGGTGACTTCCTTTATTTTTCCCCATCCACGTGTTTGTCTGGGCTTGGCTCAAAAATCTGCCCATTGTCTTTGCCATGAGAAATGAAGTTCATGGCTCTCTACTTTGACCAGAGAAGCCAATGCTTGAGCTCATTTAGTGTCACCACAGCCCATACTCTGTGATGGTTATAACAGGTGGATCAGACATCATCTCCTCCTTCCACTGAGGAACCTGTCATCATGCTAGCTCAGCATAGTTAGTGCTGGGCCTAGACCTCAGCAGGGAGGGTTAGTGGCAAAGCAGGTGTCACTCCTAGCTGACAGGTGTGAAAACACTCAAGGCTTAGTTCGTAGGGTGTGCAGTTCCAGAAGCAATCCTTGGGCTTATTAGCTTGTCTGCAGAGAGGACATCAGGAACACTTAACCCACTGTGGGTGGGGAAGGCGTTTGCAGACTTGAAAGGAATTTGCTGTTCAGTAGTGTTTCTGAGGGTGATAGACAAGCCTTACCTGTACTAGTTCTGGCACAGACAGTTGAGAAAAGAGCAAATTTGAAAACAATAGCCACAGTACTCCTCTCAAAAGCTATCTAAAATAGAACTCCTGGATGAATTAGTTCACACAAAGTAACTGGCAAGGTTCAGCTGGTTGTCCTTATTTCATTGTGAAGGATTCATTATGTTGTATCCATGCTGTGAGCTGAGAGCCCTGCTTCAAAAAGTCTGCAAAGCATTCTGTTGTTTGCTGCAGAATAACTTCAGGAGCTGTTACCTGCTAGGAGACAGGCAGGTGACAACAGGTGACATTCTGCCTAGGTGTATTTGCCAGTTTTTTTGTTTTGTTTTGTTTTGTTTTTTGAGACAGGGTTTCTCTGTGTTGTTTTGGAGCCTGTCCTGGAACTCACTATGTAGACCAGGCTGACCTCAAACTCACAGAGACCCATCTGCCTCTGCCTCCCAATTGCTGGGACTACAGGTATACACCACCAACGCCGGGTACTTCTTACTGTCTTTCAAAGAGTAATTTTTAGACAACCAAATTTGAGCAAAATGCCTCTCAAAACAGACCTCTTCCTTATTTCTCCTGTCCACCCAGGTGGTCAGTTCTCGGGGTAAAGAGCAGCTTGCAGATGTGAGGTTGCTCAGTGAGGGATGACTTTGCTGTTACATTGCCTCCCAGAGGAAGTCTTTCCCCACATACACCACCATGGTAACAAGGTACAAGCAGCCACTGGCGGATGGTGACCTTTGAGGCCCAAAGCCATCAAGAAGTGGTTCTTCGACTTGGCATTGCTTTCACAGCTTTGTCTTTCTTCTAGAAAAACAATGGGACAAAATGATCCCCAACGCAAAGACAAGTAGTGTGGCTCCTTTTGTCTAAAGGCAGGGTTTCCCAGCAATCCTTACCAGTACCAGTGCCTTTAAAAGCTGTTCAGTGTTTTGAGGTGTTCTGTTTGCTGTGCTTTTTTGAGGTAGGCTCTCACTCTGTAGCCCAGGCTGGTCTTAGGCTCATGGCAGCCCTCACACCTCTACTTTTGAGTGCTGAGATCACTGAGTGCTGAGATGCTTGACAAGACTCTCTTGAGCTTGGTGAAGATAATCATTCAATGTAATTAGGAAACAGGACCCAGGAAGCGACAGGGTTCATTTACCGTGGAACAGCAGAAGAGACAGATATTGCCACTAAGACACGGGCTGTCTGAGGACCCCATGTCTCTAATGGCAGCAGAGGAAGCTTTTCCTGAGGCTGTAGATGCAATCTCCTAGGTCCTATTGTTGAGCAGTACATGTTTACACAGTACCCTTGCATTCTTTCTCCTTATGCCGTAACAGGTAATAATCCCAACTCAAGGCACGAGAGAGAGCTTGCAATCAAGGCATAAAGGGGCTGGGCACCGTTCTGCCGCATCTTGCTTTTTCCTCTACACCCAGGTCAGCACCTATGACGTAGGGGCCAAACCCTGCCAACTTCCTGTTTTTGTTTTTAAAAAGACAAACCAGCAGTTTAGTTTCTTTCAATAGTGGCCTTCTAGTTATAGTGGCAGAGATGGTGAATGCCCGCCCCCCATATCCTACCTCCAAAATGTTTACCAACCCCAGCCAAGAAGTCCTCCCTTTTCCAGGTCCGATCCAATTTGTTCAACACGAGGCATCAGGGTGACACTGCCTGCATCTGTCTGGCATTGAGAACCCACTCCCCAGGACTTTTGCAGAATCTTACTTTAATTCAGCAGGTCAGGAAACCTCACTTCTCCAGCTGTCACGAAATTTCACTTCCTTTCAGGCTACAGCTAGCGGCTCGGTGATAGGAAGTGCTCTCTTTGGTGCCCATTGCCAGGAAGGAGTGTGTACATATGCAAGAATGGATGATACAGAGCAGTCAATGTTGGGCTTGGCCGGAGGACTAGTTGATTTCAGACGACTTTGGATGTGTAACAAGAAGTTTGGGGCCAATTGCTACGAGCTGGGGAAGTGGTCCTATAACTCTTAAGGCCATCTTCCCAACTCTCATGGGTATTTCCCATGATCTGTTTACATTCCCACCATCTTTGTTCCACTGCTCCATCCTTTTTGGTGGTTTTCTGCGGATACAGCTCAGTCACTCCATTAGTTTCCTGTAAAAATGATTGACAGTAAGGCTGTGTCTACAGGCCTTATCATCAGAAGGTTATTCCCTCTTCCGTCACCCACATCTTCCCAGAAATGTACTTTTTTTTCCCTTATGGCATTGAAGACTTATACTCAAACCTGGTTTTGTTTGCTTAGATAATCTTCGAATTTGCTTTCCCTGTGTGCATGTGTGTATGTATGTATGTGTGTGTTTTCTTTTGTGTTGTGTTCACCTTCGTGAATATGTATGTGGAGGCCAGAGGTCAATGTCAGGTGCCTCTATCATTCCCCAGCCCCCTTCTTTTGAAGACAGAGTCCCACCGAACCAGTAGCTCACTAATTTGTCCAAATTAGCCATCACACCCAGGGATATTCCTGTCTCCACCTCTCCAGCACTGAGACTGTAAGCACAGTGCTAGATGCAACAGAAGACTGAACTCCAGTCCTCAAGCTTGCATAGCAAGCACTTTATTGACCAAGCCATGCCCCAGACCCCCTTTCTCCATTCCTAATGACTCAGTGTGTTGGCAGGTACTGCTTGGAGCAGCAGAAGAAACCATTCTTGGGACTCCTTCCCACTGGAGATGTTCATGCTGCCCATTGACATAGAAAAGGTGAGTGGATCTTCTCAATCACTGAGGGCCTGAGACTTTTGGTAGTGTCTCTCAGATGTGAGTATGGAAACCACCCATGTGAGGCACAGCCAAAGGGTTCATTTCAGTGTGTGGAGGCTGCCAGGAGAAGTTTTCCAGCATCATGTGCTCAGTTGTCTGTGACTGATGAACTATGTCGGGCACTAGGCCCCACCTACTGAGCGTGTTCTATCACAAGAAACTCAACTTGGTGGCTGGGCGTGGAGCTCAGTAGTATACTGATTGCCTAACATATGTGATGTTAAGTTCAATCTCCCATCTTGAAAGTGAATTAACTCAGTTTGGGATATGTTTCTCTGGATGTGATCACATCATGATTCAGATAAATCAAGTTATATGTAATCTGCATTTGTGTCTCTCAAGTGGCACTTCTCCAGTTTTGAAATCTGATCCATACTCTGAGGGAAAGTTGATTATGCTCTTATTTGAACTGACTTTTTTTTTCTCACAGGAAAATGTCCACTTTTATGCTGCAGACATGATTATCTCAGCAATGGAGAATATGAAATGCAACCTCCTGAGTCAACAGCAGCCAGAGGCCTGGGGCACAGAGGAAGCCAGTGGGTCTCATGTGAACGATTGGATTCAGGATAAAGCAGCACAGCAGGAGCCAGGGTCCTCCACTTCCTCAGACAGTGGCTATGAAGGCAAGTTGGGCAAATCCTTGAACACTGAGTGTTGTGATCTCCATGCACGCTGTCTGTCCTCTGTCCAGTCTTGAAGGAAGGACATTTTTTAGTCCTTTGAAGACATGATCAATCTATGACCCATTGGCCACATGCACCTCAAGTTAGCTAGGAATGTGACAATTCAAAATCTGAAACTAACTTATAACATTTTGAGGTGTGTGTGTGTGTGTGTGTGTGTGTGTGTGTGTGTGTGTGTGTGAATGTGATGTGTTATTTTCAATGAGTCAGTTTTGAGGGTCTTTGGTATGTACTGTGTTGGTGATATAATGTCACTTTACAGTATGAAGGGTTGAGCACATATGAATGACCTTTACAAGGCTGCTATTTTACCTTGTGATTGGTGTGTATGCTCCACTCGTTAGCCAATGCCACTTTCCTTGTTTTGTTTTTCATTGGATTTCATTCTGCCTTTTCATGGTTGTGTCTTCCTTTATTTTCTATCAAATAGCATTCTCCTGATTTTCCTTCCACATTTTTTTTCTTGCCCAGTGGTCCTCTTTTATTTAGCAAACAATGAACCTGTTATGTACTTGGTGATGGGACTTAGTGGTGGCAGGACACTCTGCGCCTTAGGGTTTCTATTGCTGTGAAGAGACACCATGACCATGGCAACTTTTATAAAGAAAACATTTAATTGAAGTGGCTCATTTTTACTTTCAGAGGTTTAGTCCATTATCATCATGGCAGGGAGCATGGTGGCATGCAGGCAGACATGGCTCTGGCTACATCTTGATCAGAAGGCAACAGGAATTGGACTGTGACACTGGGTGGTATCTTGAGCATAGGGACCTCAAAGCCCACCCCCACAGGGACACACTTCCTCCAGTAAGGCTACACCTACTTCAATAAGGCCACACCTCCTAATAGTGCCACTCCCTGTGAGATTATAGGTGCCAATTACATTCAAACTAGAATGTTTCCCTAGAGAAAAAGTGCGGAGCCAGAGCCAAGGAGGCAAGAGGTGAGAGTCTAGCCCAGTCACTAGTCAAGGGCAGCTGGGAAGCCAGTGAGTTCCTTCTGGAGGAAAGGGCACCAAAGCCAGCAATTCAATGAAGGAGTGAATGAATTAATGAATGTTAGCTTTGACACTTTGCATCCATTGTTTTGGGAGGGGAGGTATTTTGAGACAGGGTTTCTCTGTGTAGCTTTGGATTCTGTCCTGAAACTAGTTCTGCAGACCAGGCTGTCCTCTAACTCACAGAGATCCGCCTCCCAAGTGCTGGTATGAAAGGCATGCACCACCAATGCCCGGCTCTTTGCATACATTTCTTAGAGCAAACCCTGTCTTCAGCCCCATCCCCCCATATTTATATTCTGGCAGATTTTGTCTCCATCAACCGCTTCCTCTTGGTGAACACTGCTGAGAGACCTGTGTTTGCAGGCCTGAGCTTTTCTTTCAAGTGTCTTTCTGTACCTGACAAACTTGCCCAATTGGAGGATCCCCAGATCCTCTGACTTAACACTCTTCCTGTATGGCTTAATACATCCCACATTCTCTGTTTCCAGTACAGTCATATCGCCAGCTTCCATGTGGGCATAGTTAACCTCTAATTAACACGTCTACACTATTAATCTAATAATTCTTCACAACCCCTTCTGGAGGCTAGAGGCTATGGCTTAATTTGACCTTCTATCTGTATAGATTCTACTGCCAAACACAGCCACATTCACATGTTCTAGATGGACATGAACTTTGGAGGGACATGACCCAACCTACTATAATTATGTGTCTTGTATATTTCATGGCCAGGTTGGCTTTTGTGTTTTATTTTAAACTTTGTGTTATACTAGAAAAATTTCAAACATATCTAAAAGTAGACAGCTGGCATCATCCTGTTTCACCTAATTACAGTGAATGAGGGATCCTAAACTAACTTCCTGTTGCTTTTAATCCTCGGAGCTGTAGCTTTAGCTCTGCCAACGGTGCCCAATTTCTGTCAGCAGGAAGCTATGCTGTTCTCCCCCGCCTCATCTTCCTCGCCCTTCTCCTTTCCTCCCCCCTCTTCCTCACTGTCTTCCTCTCTTTCAAAAGTGTCTTGCTGCATAGCAGACTTGTGTGAAGGTGCGCTTCTCCAGCATTTACCTCCCAAGTACTGACACTCTAGGTGGTCATCACACCTGATGGCATTTTTCCCCTAGCAATACTGTGATTGAACTCAGGGCCTTGTTCTTACCTGGTGGGTGTTCTACTCTTATTTTTTTGTTTGTTTGTTTTTGTTTTTGTTTTTGTTTTTTTGAGATAAGGTTTCTCTGCATATCCTTGGGTATCCCGGAACTCCTTCTGTAGACCAGGCTAGCCTGTAACTCAGAGGTATATATGGATTAAAGGTGATTGCTACCTCCACCCTGTGGGTGTTCTACTCTTGCTCGTTGTGGTATTCATGCATATGTGTTTAAATGTGCATGTAATGATACGTGTGTGGGGAGGTCAGAGGACAAATTTGGGTGTCAGGAACAGTCCCCTTGGTTTTTTGTTTTGTTTTTAGACAAGCTCTATCCCTTGGTCTGGAACTCTCTAATTACCTCACTGACTCCAGTGAGCTCCCAAAATCCACCTGTCGACCCCACCCCCATGCCTCCCTAGAGCTGGTATTACAAACTCAAGCTACCAAGATCAGCTTTTCCTGTAGTTCTGGGAGTTGAACCCGGGTCCTTGTGCTTGCACAGATGTTTTGCTGACTGACCCATCTCTCCAGCTTCTGGTCTCCCTTGCTGATGATAAAGTCTGTTTTCCTTCTTTCTTCAGGTTGTGGTGTGCCCCAGGTCAGCCCAGTGGCTGACACAGTTTCTTACTCTCCTGTGTCCAGAGAGGCCTGCAAACGTGACTTGGATGAACTGGTTATGTTAGGTGAGATTTAGAGCCTCCTTACTTCCAACTCCCTCACATACCACACACCTACCAGCAAACATCACATGCAAGGCCATGTCAGGGATGTCCCAGGAAACCTCTCCCGGGATGCAGAGAAGGAGAAACTTTCCTTGTCTCTAGCATGTTGATAATTGCTCATCTCACTTGCAAGAGCTGAACAAAAATGCAGATATTCACTAGATCGGCTGTGTGGTTTTGATGAAGTTTATATGAACATCCCATCTCTGGTGGGCATCTGGGGTCTCACACTGATGTGTGTAGGTGATTAGCCACTGCAGGTTCTCTGAATCCAGGGACCTATTTTTATGTTCTTGTAACATTAACCAAGTGAGATAAGCTAAAAGATCCTCTTACCCTTTCTTTGATTTTCCCACAGAACTTGGGGAATATAACGACATCGCAGGAGGCAGCAGACGCCCCTACAACTCTTTAAAGAGGTACACGTTTTGTTGTGCTTACACACATGGACTCCTGGGGGTTTCTATGGAGTCACCATGTATACTATGCCACTGATTCAGGATATTGTAGAGTGATTAGCCACAAGGGGATCCATGATGGCTAGTGTTAATTGTCAGCTTTACAGAATCCAGAATCAGCCGAGAGTGGGACCCCTCAGCCTGCCTGTGGGGATTATCTTAAGTATGGCCCTCGATGTGGAAAGACCTTGTTAATTACTGGTGGAACCAGCCTATAGGCAGGGCAAGCTGGTCTGTATGAGTTGAGAAGGAGCTGGACCCCAGCATGCCTGTCTTCATAACTCTCTTCTGATTGCTCGTGTAGTGTGATGAGCTACTTCAAGGCCCCAATGCCTTGACTTCTCTACTGAGGTGGACTGTCCCTTGAAGAGCAAGCTAAAATAAATCCTTCCTGACAGTCTCACAGCAAGCTCGCCAGTCCTCTGGCTCTATCAATTTCCCAGCCCTTCTTCTCCAGTGTTCCCTTAGCTTTAGGTGTGGAGGCCTTTGTAGATGCATCCATTGAGATCAGACTCCATGACTCTGCATTCTGATTGGCTGTGGTTTTCTGTAGTGGTCTCTGTTGCAAAGAGAATTATTGGATGTGGTTTTCTGTAGTGGTTTCCCTGATGAGGGGCAAAGACTACACTTTTAAGGACAAATGTTTATAGATTGTTGTTACGGATTATGCTAGTTTGGTAAGTTAGAGACAGAGGGAAGGGAAAAAGTCTTATCATTATAATATAAAAAATTTAAGCCAGGACATGGTGGTGCATGCCTTTACCCAGAACTCAGGAGGCAGAGGCAGATGGATCTCTGTGAATTTGAGGCCAGCCTGGTCTACAGAGTGAGTTCCAGGACAGCCAGGGCTACACAGAGAAATCCTGTCCCAGAAAACAAAACAAAAAACAAACAAACAACAACAACAAAGATTTAAAAAGTAAAATAAATCCTTTCTCCCTTAAGTTATTTTTTTCCCTGAGGCTCATTTATTTTTATGAATTTATTTGTGTGCATGGGTGTTTTGCCCCTTAAGTTACTTTTATCATTTTATCACAGCAACAGGAAAAGAAACTAAGACAGACCTACCACCTAGAAGGCAGCCGGTCATCTCCATAATAGCAGTTTTGTTTGCTGTGATAAAGTACCTGAAATAACTAACTTATAGAGAGAAAAGGCTTATTTGTCTTTGGAAATGAGAAGACTTGCTAGTGTCATTGACTTGGTGAGGTCAGCATGTCTTGCACTATCATGGCAGGAACAAGGGTAAGAGGGAGACATCCTTTGTAGTTACTGCCCCCAGTGACCTACAGACCTCCTGCTAAGTTCTACCTTCCTGCACTTCAATCCTGGGAGCCAATCCCTTAACATCTAGAACTTTGGAGGACACTGCCCATGTTCAAGGCACAGCACCCCCCAACATCACTGTGTGTTATAGTGTGTGAAAGGCTGTTTGTATATGTGTAGTAACACGTAATGACACAGAGACTTGTTAGTAATTATGAAAGCGTGGCCTTAGCTTATGCTTTTTTTCTAGCTACCTCTTTTAACTTAAATTAACCTGCTTTAATTAATCTCCGTCATGTCTCCTGCGTGGCTAGATTCATCCCTTTGACTTACTCTTTCTGTCAGGAAGTCCCGCCTATCCTGTCCTGCCTAGCTATTGGATATTCAGCTTTTTATTATACCAATCACAATTGTCACACAATGTACAAATATTCTGCAACATTTATATCTTCATTTAACCACACAGGGAGGCTAGGAAAGTTTTACATATGTATTTGTGCATTTATTCAAAACAAACTTGGATGTATTTTATGAGTGTTTTACTTGCATTATGTATGTGTTCCATGTGCATGCGTGGAGGTCAGAAAAGGGGCTTTCACACCCTGGAACTGGAGTTACAGATGGTTGTGAGCTACCATGTATGTGTTGGAACTGAATCCTGGTTCTCTGTAAAAGCAACAAGTGCTCTTAACTGTTGAACCATCTCTCCAGCCACTGTGAATTTATTTGTAACCCTGTTTTATAAACATGGGAACTAAGGCTTATAAAAGATGGCACAGTGCCCCCACCCCTTTTGACAGGTCTCATGATGTAGTCTTGTAACTTGTAACTTGTAACTCATGAGATCCCCCTGCCTCTGTCACATCTGCTGAGATTAGAAAATGGGTCAGCCTCATCATGCTACTAAACATCAGAAGAAGGATTTGAACTCTGGCTTTCTTACTTTAACTCCAGGGCTCTTTTCCACCTGACTGTATTCCCTGTGCACAGCTGTTCAGCTTTTCTTTCTCTCATGTTTCAGTGTAACCTGTGAGTCAGACTTCAGTCCTGCTGGGCTGTTAGCCAGAGAGTTGTTCCGGGGGTTCTTGAAGTGCCAGGTACTTTCGGAAGTCAATTCTCGGCTGCCAGGCTCCCTGACAGCAGCCAGCTCAGGGGTAAGTATGGGAGCCAGTTGATGTGGAAGAAAGCGTTCTTAATTTCTCACTGGGCTTACTGGGCTCAAATATTTATGTTTCCTCTTATGCTTTAGAGGTGTTCTGGAGGTCTCAAAAGGACTCCGAGTACCCATTAAACACCAGAGAATGTACTTACCAATTCACACCATTAAACACCAGAGAATGTACTTAACAATTCATGCCATGGTGTTACTGTTTTGAGAAAAGGTCTTGCTGTGTAGCACAGGCAAGTCTCTAACTTCTAGAGCCCTCTTATTCTGGCCTCCCTAGTGCTGGAATTACAGGCATGCTAAAATGTTGCCATCCTCCCAAGTATCCTGAGGTGTTGCTATCATTTCCCCCTCTTATTACTCTTATTTTAAAGTGCTGGGCAGACATTGGCAGGGCGGTGGGCAGGGCAGGACAGTGGTGAAGCAGGTGTCACTCACAGACAGATGTGGCAACACACAAGGCTTTGCTTGCAGGATATACTGTTCTCAAAGAACATGAAACCCCTGGTGGTAATAAATGCTAAACGATGATTGAAGGTTGAAACAAAACAAAACGAAAAGAATCCTCTGAAAGGGCCAGGGTGGGAGGGCATCTAATTTCATCAGAGGAACCTCAGAAAGCTGACTGGAGAGCATCCATCTGACCCAGGTGTTAGCCAGTAGGTGCTGGGGCTGCTAGAACCTGTGGAGAAGTGTTCTCAGCAAAGGCCATTGAACACAGATGGAGGGCTCTGGAGCCCTGACTGAGCAGAGAGACTTAGCTGTGGTGGACATTGGGGGTGGGGTGGGATTCGTGGGAACAGGCTTGAGTGATAATGGCCAGATTGTGGGAGTTTCTGGATTGGAGGAGTCTGGGTTTTAAATGACAACAGGAAAAATGTAAGATTTTACAGGGAGCTGTTGAGCTTTGTAAGTTAAGTTCTGCCACAAGACCATGGCAAAGCTCTGATTGGCTGTTGCTTTAGTCACTGGAGGCTGCTTTGGTCATGAAGGAGCATCCCTGGTCACAGAGTCCCCTCACCACGCGGGAAGTCTGGAAACACATGAGCTAAAAATATTAAAACAGGTGGGCTCAGGCTCAATGGCGAAGGACGCTGCTGCTGGTGCAATGTGTGGAGTTCCCAGCACCTACACGAGGTAGCTGACAACTGCCCTCCAGCTCCAGGGGATCTGACACCCTCCTCAACAACGACGGTGGGGGGCGGGCGGGGACACGGGACACCTGCGCCAAGTCCTTTAGGTCAGCAAAAACCAGTTCCAATTTCTGGCAGTAAATTTTAATGGGAAACACACTTAAGAGTTCTTTTCAATTAAACCCCTGAAATGTGATTGCAGGTTGGGAATGAAGAGCATGCTGGGGAAGACTTTGACTCCAGCATGGATGCAACACAGGAAATCATGCCCAAGTCTAGGGTCCCAGGGGCTGAAGACTGGGTGCCCCCTGGATTTCAAATCATACTTACTGTTCACACGCCAATCAGGTAAGAGTGCGGTGCAGCCTGGAATCCCAGGTTCTACCTGGATCATGTGATGGGTCCCACCTGATTCCTAATGAAGCAGATGCAGATAAAACAAAGGGCTGGGGGACAAAGGAGATTGTTTCTGCCTTAGTTTTGGCACTCTGTTGTGAGTTTTTTTTTTGGGGGGGGAGGCAGGATTCTTTAGGATGTACAAGGTAAAAGTGAGACTCTCCTTCCCCAGTTATGAACATCCCATAGCGCTTGTAGATTAAATAGGCCCCGAGAGGATTTTTAAATGGCTAGTATTGAAACAAAAATAAAATACAATGACTTAAAGTGACGAGACCACTCTGTTTTCCAGACTAGCTAGTGTGCAACTAAAAGAACGACAAATGCATAAAAGCTTTGAAAGAATAGTTGAGAAATTTAGCAGGACATAAGTAAACTCTATAAAATCACAGATGCTCGGAGACAGCTCAAATTATACAAGAAGGGACTAAACTTGTATGGAGTGTGTATATGTGGCCATACATACTGTGTGTACAAAGTAGTTTGATTGTAATTTTTCTGAGAGTAAAAAGCGGGTTACAGAGAAAGGTTATAGGCAACATATTCTAATTCCATGCAGTTTTTGTGTTCCCTTGGTCTCTCCTGCAAACTTCAGGGCTATGGAGCAATGTCCCCTGTACTCCACAGAGGTCGCTCGCACACTATGTCTTTGCCTACTGACTTTGCTCCCAGACTTACTAAGTCCCAGGAAGGGTGCTGCAAAGTGCTTGGGCAGAACTTGCCCTCAAGGCACTGGGGACAGGTCACTTTCATTGCACAGGATATCTTCCTTCAAATTTCCCAGAATCCTCTGTAAGACGTATGGGCAGAGATTTAACGTATTTTTTTTTTTTTTTAACTTTGGCAATTTTTGGTTGACCTTGACTGCAATGAAAATTTAAATTTACCACTTTGCCCATAATTCTCGGTCACCGTTGAAATCAGAGTGCAACTGTTCCCAGAACATCCTTCTCAGGAGCATCTAATAACTTTGTCTTGTGTCGTGTCATATTCTAATGTATATGGTATTTATTCATGTGACCTTTCTAAGCATGGCAGACTGTGTCTTGTCTCCTTGGCTTCTGATCATGGGCAGTGGGAAACCCCAAGGACTCTATATTGGAAGAGTTCTTTGTGACACTGATTTCTAATTTGGGGACAGTTGAGATTTTTAAAGAGTCCTAGCTTTAGAAAGCCCAACTAAAAGACCATATTGGATAACTATAAAATTTTCTCAAAATGAAAAAAAAAAAAGATGACAAAATTAAGGACCCCAAGCCAAGGAACACACGCTTTGTCAACTGTTTTTCTATCAATGAAATGTCTAACAGTTGCCATTTTCTGTCGTCAGGAGGGACATAGCGGTAGTGGCCCAGAATTTCTTCTGTGCTGGATGTGGGACTCCAATACAGCCCAGTAAGTATGGGTTCTGCGCTGCTTGCTTGCTTCGTGGTAACAGAGAGATCAGCAGAGCTAAACTGTGTGTTGCTTTGGGTGAGACAGGAGACCTTCTGGTGAGAGCATGCTATAAAGAATTCCTGGAGGCAGTGCTGTCTTTCCTTAGGAGGCCACCATGACCCACTAAGCCACACGAGTAGCCAGGAGGACCAGCATCCTGTCTGCCTCTCCATGACGCACTTGGAGAAGCCAAGCACTCCTGATTCAGGCTTTGAACCTATTGTTTCCTCTCCCAAGAGTGCCTTCCCTGGAGACTTCCCCATGACTCTTGCCTTCCATCCCATCGTCCCCTCCTTTCTCCCCACTCCTGTCTGTCCTCTCCTTCTCGTCCTCACCTCCTCTCTTCCCCGAGTCTTCCTGGCTGCCCCATGGAGCGTGCCCATCTGGCCACACCCTGTTGTGTGTGTCTTTCCTGTGATCATCCTCCACACTGCTTACTCTCAGCATGGCCACCATCCCTAGAATACTCTCAGTTTTATTTACAGGTTATTGTCTGTCTCCATTACCAGAAGTAAATTCCATGAAGACAGAAACACTGTTGGTTTTGTTCATCGTTCACTGCCAGCCTCTAGGGCCGTTCTTGCTAATAAATGGTCCTCTAGACCCACAGAGTGAACAAATGGCTCCTGGCAACACTTCCCTGAGAGAGGACATGGTGACTCACTTCTTGGCTGACCAACATCCTGCCAACTAATGCTCCCTATGCGAGATTTTCAGCTGAGGCTGGGCATTGCTTGCTCTCCAGGGAAGATGTCTGTTTCAAGAGATGGAAACTGAAAGCAGAATGTACCATAGTCACAGTGAGTCTTTAACTGACTCAGTTTCCCAGCCAGTCAAGTAAGAAGCAGGTTGTTAGATAATCTGTACATCCTAATGCCATACAAAATGTCAAATGCATGCCTCAGAAACTGCATAGACACGCCGGCTCCACCAATCGTTCAGTACCTTCCTGAGTTCATTGAAACGCTGTGGGTACAGCAGGGACTCTTGCAGGTCCTGCCCTCACAGAATCTGCTTCCCAGCTTGGAGGGTGAGATGAGGAAAGGGAAAGAAGGCAAGACTGCTGTGGAATTCACAGTGGAGAATCTAAGCTTGTGGTGGAGGTGGAGCGCGGAGAGAGAGGTTTCATAAAGATGTAATCATCTCCAGGATGTGGTGGCGTGCTCAGCCCGCGCAAAGGGACTGTGGCAACTGGAAAGAAGAGGGAAACACTGCAGAGTAGGTGCGGCATAGGTTTGGGATGTCATCTACTGAAGCGATTGAGCGCTTTTCCAGAAAACTTCGTCTAATTCTGATTATTTTCACTTTGCGTTCTGAGATCATTTAAACTCACAGAAGAGTTTTAGAAACAGTGGGAAGGGCTTCCAAGCTCCCTTCCCCAGCTTCTGCCAATGCCAATCACAGGGCAATCATTACATCCGAGATGTTAATGTTGGCTCAATCCCCTCAGGTTAACTTCAGACTTTCCCTGGTTTCAGGAGATCGTTGCCTGTAGCCTTTATCTGTTTCAGGGTTTAGTTCAAAATTCTGCGTTCTGTTGGCATTATTCCTGAGCCCCCTTTTATCTTACATACAGGCCATTTTACTCTCTATCCCTGTCTTGGATCATCTTATGTCAACTTGACACACAAACTAGAGTTATCACAGAGGGAACCTTAATTGAGAAAATGCCTCTAAGATCCAGTTGTACGGAATTTTCTTAGTTATTGAAAGGGGAGGGCCCAGCCCATTGTGAGTGTGCCATCCGTGGGCTGGTGGTCCTGGGTTCTATAAGAGAGCAGGCTGAGCAAGCCATGAGGAGCAAGCCGGTAAGCAGCATCTCTCCATGGCCTCTGCATCAGCTCCTGCCTCCAGGTTCCTGCTCTGCTTGAGTCCCTGTCCTGACTTTCTTTAACAATGGACTCCAATGTAGAAGTGTAAGCCAAATAAACCCTTTCTGCCCAACTTGCCTTTTGGTCATCATGTTTCATCACTGCAATAGAAACCCCAACTAAGACAACCCCTCACTCACGTTCTAAAAGTAAGGACTGCAAGCAGTTATCACAACAAAATGGCAACAGCAATTCCCACTATTATCTCCTGTAGTCCACTCACCCTACTATCTGCAAGGCATCATCACATATGGCTCACCTTCCAATTTAAGTTTGTATTTAATGTGTATAGTGCCATCTAGTCACTATTTCTGTCTATTCGGCTTTATTCGAGAACTGTACTGTTCAATGTGGCAGCCACCTGCCCATGTGCCATCATAAACTCAAGGTCAAAATTTAAGCTTCAGTTTCTTAGTCACACTTGGCTCGTGTCATGGCTGCTGAGTTGGACAGCAGTGCATTTCCATTCTGCAAAAGGTTTTGTTGGACAACCCAAATCTAGATTTATGTTCCATGCCACTGACTCCATGAGATAGAACAGAGCTGTTGGAGTGGGTTTCTGAACTCCAGTTCTGCTGACTTGGGGGCCCCCATGAGTTTGAGGGTTTGGGTAGAATTGCATGCTTCCCTAGCAGCCCCAAACAGTGACAGAGCATGTCAAATGCAAATGTCCCCAGAAGGTAAAAAGTCACCCTGGCTGAGAGCCACTGGTTTAGGAACCTTCCTTTTTCTTTTTCTTTTTTTTTCTTTTTCTTTTTTTTTTTTTTTTTTTCCTTTCTTAATGTTCTTAGGAATAGCAATGGCATCATTCTTTCTGTACTGACTGATGATAGCACAGCAATTATTTAATGAAGCTTGGTAATGAGTGAATGGATATGGAGATGCTGGGGGCCTAGAGGGGAGGAAAAGGTGAGTTAAATCAGGAGGAAATTATTCATCCTCCTGAATCCTCCTGTCTCTTTCCAGTGTGCCAAGTCTGATCAGGGATGCAGGTTACCAGGTCATAGACTGTCCTTCAGGTGGCATGCTAAGAACTATACTTTTTGTACTTCTGGTTTGTTAGAGATCTTACTGTGTAGCATACCTCTCCCCACAGGATAATTCATCAAGTGCAGAGACATTGGCTCTTCCCCTATCCCTTCGGCAATTGAACCCAAGGGGGAGTGGATATACTGGCTACAGTGGATTTCAACTGAGCTTGCCTGCTCATTGCCTTTGTGTTCCAACTCACTGCCCATGTGTCCCTACTGTGATGCTTGTCTTCACTGTCCTGTTTCCTTAATGAAAAGGGGAACACAAGTTCTTAAGTCATAGAACTACAAGCATAGAATGACATATATTGACCCATAACCACCGTGGGAAACGGGCTAAGTGTCCAGTAAAGACTTGTTCCTGCCTATTCTTTGAGGCATTATTTGGAAATGGTCATCATTATCTACAGTGTGCTAGGGAGTGTAGTCACTGCCTTCCCATCCATTATGTTCTGACCACAAATCTAACAGACATAAGAACTAGAATTACACCTTGTGTTATCTCAATTACAAAGAGACGCAAGTCAAACCTGGGATGATAAATGCCAAGACTTGTTTCATGTCGGATGCTAAAAGCTGAGGGATGGCTGCACAGGAGACTGGCTGCATTGTTTTCCTTCTTAGCCTAGGTAGTAAGGGTACAGTATTGTTACTCTTATCCCTACATCTTTAAATACCACATATTTGTTTTAGCAGATTCAAAAGTGCAAGAAACAGATAGTTTTCCCCATGCCACAGAGATGTGCATTAACTTTCTGGGGGGCGGTATCTCTCTCTCTCTCTCTCTCTCTCTCTCTCTCTCTCTCTCTCATCCCCAACCCCCAATTTATAAAGAAACTCTTTGGAGGCTACATCTTAACACTGTGCATACCCTGCTTTAGAATGTGCTCTTCATATGTGGGCTATCCCCGAACCCTCTGCTGCATTTTGTTAGTCTAAGAGAAGATTCTGAGCTGTGATTGGGGTTCCTGTCAGCAGCAGGTGGCATCTGCACACTCTGCCAGACTCCCAGACTCTACACGGAATGTTCTCACTGCACTGCAGCTTGCTGTGCCCATTTTCCAAGAGTGTTTGGGAGGATTCCGTTTCTGTGGCATCAATCCTATTACAGCAAAGTCATAAATGACCACAAGTGAAATCCCCAGGTCAATGTCATTGCTATGCTGCCTGGCAGTTGAATCTGGCTTTGCCACTGTGAACAGTGATTGAGCCTAAGCCTTGCATAGGAGTTGGGACGTGGCCTAAGGCAGATTCCTAGCATCATAACATGGTTTCACCCTCCTGCCCTCTACAGAGTTTGTGAAGCGGCTCCGGTACTGTGAGTATCTGGGGAAGTACTTCTGTGACAACTGCCATTCATCTGCAGAGTCCTGTATCCCTGCCAGGATCCTGATGCTGTGGGACTTCAGGAAGTACCAAGTCAGCAATTTCTCTAAATGGCTACTGGACAGCATATGGCACCAGCCTGTCTTCAACCTGCTAGGCGGGTACCATAGCCTCTACACAAAAGCCAAGGAACTGGATAGGGTGAAGGTGAGTTGATGCCTCCTCAGAGGAGGAAGCGAGGGTAGGAAGAGAGATGCCCCATGGTAGGAAATGCATGTCCCTCTGGTTTCAGAGTGTCTCCAGACCTCCACAAGGCAGTTACACTGCAGGTGCTGGGGCCTCTCGCCTGTGTGGGCTCTTTCTAATTCTCCACAAAACCTGTGAGCATTCGGGACTCGTGGATTCAAGAGTTCAGTTATGAGACCTTGCTGAAGGTGCTATTTGCTTGACCATTGATTTTGTTTGCCAGCACAGCATGTCATATAACTTTAGGGTTTATCACACCCATTGCCCATGGCCACGCACCTCATTCCTTCTGGTTGGCTTCTTGCCTTAGGACATCCAGGAGCAACTGTTTCACATCAAGAAGCTGTTGAAGACTTGCAGGTTTGCTGATAGGTATGATTCCCAGCTGGGACCCTCTCCTCTCCTACGGCGCATGCCTCTTGCAAAATCCAATCTCTGTAACCATTCTACCATCCCCTTCTTCTTCTCACATCCCAGCTCTTGGAAAGCCCCTTTTTTTCTCTATGAATTTTTCTCTATGAATATGATGTATGTGCATCATAGAATATGTGTCTTTTTGTCACTGGATTATTTCTCAGGGTCCATCCACATTGCAGCATGTGTCAGGATTCCTTTCCTTTGAAGACTGAGTAGCATTTGGCTGTGTGTGCATTTTAATTTTTTATCTACCCACCAAGGGGCAGGCTGCTTCTGTCTCTTGTGAGTAGTACTGCTGTGAGGATTCCCATGACCTACTAAATCCCCCTCACATAGAGGCAGGGTGCAAGTCACACCAAATGAGATCATGGCTCCCAGATCTTGATGCTTACCCTAGGGATATTCTTACAGAGATGGGAAGACATTTAGTTAAGATATAAATTTAAAATAAGACATAACACAAACACCTACTAGGTGTTCAGTAATAAGATAATAGTTAAATTTATATCACAGGCACATTGTCAAAAGCAAACAGCCACTAACGGTTGAGACATGAATTTATGGATAGAGATTTTATATGTGTTTGTGTGAATGTGTGTGCACAACATGTTTGCATGCATGTGGAGGCCGGAGGTTGATGTTGGGTGTCTCATCAATAGTTCTACCTTTATTTCTTGAGTCATAGTCTTTCACTTGGCCTGGCGCTCACATACTAATTGATAAGCTGCAGTGAGCCTTGGGCATCCCCGTCTCTGCCTCCCCAATAGTGAGATTACAGGCATTGACTGCAGTGCCCATCTTTCTGTGTAGGTGCTGGGGATCTGGACTCAGCTCCTCTTCTTGCAAAGCAAGCATTTTAGTGACCGAGCCTTTGCCCCAGCGCCGAGAGAGCTTTTTAGTAGTGTAGGTGACTCAGGGAACTCTTTCCTCTCTGGCAGTGTACTGAAGGAGTTTGAGCAGGTTCCCAGTCATCTGACTGACAACTGCCATCTGTTCTCCATGGATGACCTCCTCAGGACCAAGAAAGGACTGCTGGCACCCTTGCTGAAGGACATCCTGAAGTCTTCTCTTGCCCACGTGGCCAGCTGTGAGGTAAGGATTCACCGGAGACAGGTTCCCTTCCTAGTGCCAGGATCTAGGGAGGGAAAGGTTTTTCACTTTACTCTGGACCATATTTAACTCTCAGGGCCCTGAGCAGAGAGAGCATTGAATCATAGCTCTGAATTAGCTAACCTAAGTCACCCTACTGGGACAAGTTGGAACCCTGTAGCTTCTTAATTTGAATGCCCAAACTCTGTAGGAGCCCATTCTGCACTGAGGCAACCATTGTGGAATGTGGTTTTGTTGTTGTTGCTATTATTCTGATCCAATTCTTCTAAAGGCTAAACTCAGAGACATTGAAAAAATAGATGCTTCTATGGTTGTGTGCAAATGGTAGCCCAGTTTCCCCAGCACAAGCAGCAGTGTCAACGTGTGACCTTAGATGCCTTCCTTCTTTTGCAGCTGTGCCAGGGGAAGGGCTTCATTTGTGAGTTTTGCCAGAGTACCACTGTCATCTTCCCATTCCAGACCATGACTTGCAGAAGATGTTCAGGTACTTTAGTTACTTTAATAACATCAGCTTCGTAATCGCTTGACTTAATTGCAAAGTAGCCAAATCAGGGCTCTCACTTCAGCTGAATGACGCCTCAGTCCCTGAAGTACAGTTATCTCTGTAAAGTGCAGAGATGCAGTATGTACTTGGGGGTGGACTGGAGGCAGTACAGTGTGGGCCCACAGCATGGGCATATCTTGCAGGGTAGGGACAAAGAAGGATATTTCTTGGGGTGTTTGATGGAGAGGATACTCCCAGTTTGACCTGTTACCACCAACAGTTTTAATTAGATTATATTTCCACCCAACCCTGAAGGGTTATCTCTGTTTTTAAACCACAGTGGTGGAGTGGATCCACTGTCATGGAGACTATCTTAGGGTTTCTGCTGCTGTGAAGAGACAACATGACCACAGCAACTCTTATAAAGGAAAACATTTAATTGGGGCTTGCATACAGTTTCAAAGGTTTAGTTCATTATCATCATGGTGGAGCATGGCAGTGTGCAGGCAGACACGGTGCTGGAGAAGGAGCTGAGAGTTCTACATCTTGATCCACAGGCAGCAGTGAGTCTGTGTGACACACTGGGCATAGCTAAAGCATAGAAAAATCTCAAAACCTGCTCCCACAGTGACATACTTCCTCCATCAAGGCCACACCTACTCTGACAAGGCCACATCCCCTAATAGTGTCACTCCCTATGGGCCAAGCATTTAAACACACGAGTCTATGAAGATCACACCTATGCAAATGACCACAGAGAACAATGGCTCTATAGACCTTAAAACATTTGCTGCTGGCTCTTGTGTGGGGTATGCATGTGCATATGTGCACTCCTGTGTGTGCCAGTGTGTGTGTGTGTGTGTGTGTGTGTGTGTGTGTGTGTGTGTGTGTGTGCAGGCCAGAAATCAACTTTGGGTGTCATCCCTCAGGCACAATCCATCTTTATTTTTGAGACAGGGTCTCTACTGGCCTAGAACTCATCTATTACTTTAGGCTGACCCATAGACCTGAGTTATCTCCTAGGCCCAGTTATTTGTCTCTTTACAGATGGTGCTGTTAAGGGAATCCCATGCTCTCCAAATTCTGTTGCCTGGGAGGGATTTTGGTGGGGAACCTTGCCTTCATTTTTTTATGTGAACATGGTCTCTTCATAGGATACTCTAGTCTTGCAGGACAGGGTCTCCAGAAAAGAGACTTGAACCTAGGGTTTCCAGGCTGATGGGGATGTGAGAGTAGCAGACCTAGACGGGGGAATATTAAATAGTGATGGCTACAAGAAGCCCTGGTCATCTCACAGAGCTCTGGGTGACATGAGGGGGGAGTAGCATTTCAGCACTGTTCCAACTTACAGAGGTGACCTGGTCTTCAAACTCCTTAGCAACCAGTTACTGAATTCAGGCTGGTGCCAAAAAAGGAGCATAACTTTGGATGAGGCAGCTCTGTCCATTTAGAAACATTTCAAGAGAATCGATGCCTCTTCAAAAGAGTTATCAGTCACCAAGTTAAGACTAGGGGAATTGCCCTTAGTGCTCAGGCTGATCTAGAGGTATGTGGCATCAACCACACCCACAGGCTCCTGTGCCTTATAGTCGAGAACGGTTGAGTAACTGATAGTCCTGAGAGTTTTGGCATGGTTGATTTTTTTTTTTCTCCCTGTAAGACCCTGTATTCTGAAATCAGGTCATCTGGTTCCCACTCCTCAGACCCCCCCCCCCCCCGCCCCTGCCCATGGAACAAGCATCCATGTGTATGTGAGAGATTAAGAGATTAAGGAATGCGTTTGCTGACCACTGATCCATCCCCTTGCTTGCAGGGTGCAGGGCGTGCTTTCACAAACAGTGTTTCCAGTCTTCCAGATGCCCCCGCTGTGCCAGGATGATAGCTCGGAGACAGCATTTGGAGAACTTGCCCTCTGCAGGGATGTGACAGTCCTGATGCACTTATTCAAAGCGCTGTAGGATGATACCAAATTGTGTCTGCTCCTGATAACATTGTTTCAGATACTAAGTGTTTTACAGTAGGAAAAATATGACCCTAACCCCACTCCTGTATATATTTAATGCTTTCAAGGAGCCCGGAAGTTTGTTACTAGGTGTAAGATTATTGCTAAGGTTTTGTTCATAAATGTTTGAAATATTTAACTTTTTTTTTCCTGCTACCTGCTGTTTTTAAATTAAGTTGTAGCTCGGTAGCCATTTTTAGCTAAAAACAGAACCTATTTTTTTTTTTTATGAACTGTAACTGACAAGGTGAAAAACTTAGTTCCACTTCCTTCAAAGCTGCTTGTGAAATGGTTGGACACTGTAAGAGAACAAAGTGCAACGAGAATTGTGTTTGCTCAAAGCTTTTGTTCTTTCAAGAAAAAGACTCCTACTCAATGTAATTTCGTGTGTTTTATTCATTCCACGGTTTGCATGGAATACCCGCCACCTCTGTCAGTATGTTCATTTCTAGATGACTGTTTCAGCCATCCAACGAGGGTCTGGGTGAGATGTCATTTGGAGCAGTTGCCTCTAGATGGCACTGTTTGGGGAACATACATTCAGCCCCTTTGCTGTCTGTCTGTCCCAGGCTAGTCTTGATGGGCCATGGGAAATTCAAGGGAGCCAGAGGGGACTCCATCCTCCTGGTCAAGCTTCATGGGCATACAAAGAACAGATCACAGAGAATCTGAGAGCTGAGCATGGTGGCATGCACCTGTAATCCCAGCATTTAGGAGGTAGAGGCAGAGATTAGGACTTGCTATACTAACAGGAAATCTGAGGACAGCCTACTCTTTTTTTCTTAATCTGAAAGAGAATGGAACTTTAAAAACAAGTGAGTTTGGATAAAATAATTCTTTTTCATTGGTCTGGTGTTTGTTTTGTGAGGCAGGGTCTTCCTATAAAGCCCTGGCTGACTTTTAACTTGCCTTCCATCTCCATATGCTGGGGCTAGAGGTATATGTCACTAAACTTACCAAAAAAAAAAAAAAAAAAAAAAAAAGTACTTTCACCTGTGACAAAATACCTGCCATAGCCAATGCAAGAGAGGGCACCACTGCCTCCTAGTGGTTTCAGTCTGTTAGAGCGGGGAAGGAACAGCAGACTTCACCAAGGCTCACAGGGCACAGACACCTTCACAGGAAGCAGGCGGGAAGCAGCAGACCTGCCCAGAGCCAAGGCTAGGCTAGACCTCCAGAGGCCCACCCCAGTGACACACCTCTGCCAGCCACACTGGCTCCAAAGGCTCCAAACCTCCAAGGTAAGGACCAAATGTTCAAACACACGGACCTGGAGCAAGGGAGGGGGGCGCTTGGCATGTAAACGCTAAGGACCTAGTTCTGTGGATCAAGAAACTGATGAAATTCTTTTCCTAATGCTTCTCATAGTTGCACGGTTTCCTAGGACAGGTAAGCCTGCTTCTTCCCTTTTCCCTCCTGTATACCTTCTCCTACTCGAGGAGATTAGGGCCAAGTCCCTTCCTAGAACATCTTCAGGCTGACTGGTTCTCAAAATGGCTGTCATAGCACCTCCGTGCCCCAGGCTGAGCTGCTCACACCACAAAGGCAGGCAGCAAAGTGGTACAGATGCCTCCCAGTGCCACCCACCAGTGTCCCCTACCACTACCATCTGTGTCGGGGCTGGCCAGGAGAGAAGAGATTGACTCCCAGTAAGGTAACAGTGAGCAGACTGAAGCACAGAGCGTCCCCCTTATGTCTGGACATCCTGTCAACTCTTTTATGATTCTGTCAGGGCTCTCGTCACACTTGTATTTAAGCCGGTGCTCTGTAAGTAGAAATATGGATGCACAGGAGACAAGATTAAACTTCAGACACTGCATCACCCTTGTCCATAGCTCACATTCTCTCCTTGTAATCAAGGGTGAGAGGGGCATGTGTGGTTTGTATTCTAAGGTAAATGCTGGCACCCCATTTTACAGGTAAGGAAACTGAGGCTCTGAGAAGAGAGATAACTTGCCTGGATTCCCACAGGCCATGGGTGGTAGAGTAGGGTTGGCATTTGTGGCACGGGGTAAAGTGGTTTTTTATTTTTTAATTTATTCTTGTGTGAAGCTGGGGGGAACCTACTGGGCCTCAGCCATTACATGAAGTTCTGGGCTCAGAGTCACGTGTTTGTAAGGCTTACATGTATGTGTATTTACACAACTTTGCACTGGCATGTTACATTTACTTAGACTTGTACATGTGTGTACATGTGTGATCTTGTATATGTGAGCACAAGTATGTGGCCAGTGGATTTCTCCTCTGTCAAATGGATCCTCAGGCTTGTCAGCAAGAGCCTTAACTTGTTGTGTGTGAATGTGCACGTGTGGGCCGGAGAAGAGCCGTGGGTGTAATCTCACAAGAGCCACGCCACCCACATCCTTTGAGACAGGGCCTCTCATTGGCTTGGAAGCAAACCCCACAGATCCTCTTATCACTGCCTCCCCAGCGCTGGGCTGCTCACCACCCACCCAACTGCTTACCAACAACCTGGCATTTTCATTTGGGGATGGACTTCGGGCCCTGTGATGGTGGGGGGGGGGATGCTATACTGTCTGTGCCGCCCTGGCCCCAGGCTGTGTTAGCATGGGTGATATTGAGGAAGAGCATCGTCACCATGAAACGCTGCTTTTTATTTCTCACTTGCGGAAGAATGAGATCATTTCAATCACTCATCTGTAGCAATTCCAGGCTCCTGGTTCCTCCCCAGCATGCTAGCTGAAGGTCCTTCCCAGGGAGATGGCAATTTGAGCAGAGAAGCGATCCTAGCCCCCTACAGGGAGCTCGTGAATTGTGGCACTGAGGTTTAGTGGGGTTTACTCACTGGCTAGTTCTTCCTCGGTTTGCCTTCTGTTTCCCCTCGGTCTGTCACCCACTGTGAGGCACCCAAGTGTACTGACTTCCCGTGCTTGGACCATTCCAGTCACTTACCGTCATGATTCTCACATGCAGCCAGAGAACGGTGCCTCCATGAGGCAAGGGGTGTGGGGTGAGGAGGGTGGGCGTTCCCAGGAACATTCTGCTATGTTGACCGGGCCAGGACTGTACGTGGAATCCCACACCTGCTGCTTCTAGCTCAGTGACCTGGGTAAGCGTGAGGGTTAGGAATGAGAAGAGCAGCAGGTTTAAGTGCTGAGCCGTCTCTCCAGCCTCATAGATACAAGGCATTTTTAAAAAGTGCAAGCACGGGCCCACAGACTGTCTAAAATTGAGTATGCTCCTCTTGGAGCCACGTTCCAGAGAATTCTGGGTTCCCAGATGCCCACTGCATCATTCTAAAGAGGAATGGAGTTGTGGGTGAGGATGGACCTTTGTCTCTCACCTGTAAGGAGGGGCTCAGCAGGAGAGAGGCCATAGCAAAGGCCTCAGCTTCCTCAGATCTTAGGAAAAGCCTGATCACTGGCTAGCAAGGACAGATATACGAATCGTAGCAGCAGGAAACCAGCAGATGAGGTAGAATGGGGAGACTAGAGGCACACACAGAGGCCTGAAAACGTGCATTGTGTATTTAAGTTTTGTCATTAATCCTTGCCGGCTGAGAGAGCTGCCCACACACTTGAGGATGCAGGGTCACTGTCCCCTCTGCATGCCGAGTTCCCACTTTCTGTTTGTGTCTGCTTGCCTCAGGACCATTCAGAAAAGAACTATGTTAGTTGCTCATGGGGTAAGAAAAGGGAACCATGGTTTCCCCTTTCAAACCAGTTGAGAATGTACTTCTTAAGACAGGTTCTGAAATATTTGACAACGAAACCAATTCTCTGCCTTCTCCCACGCTGGCGATGACCTCAGTAAGGCTGATTAATGAGCAGCAGTCCGTGGGCAGTGTCTGGCTGACTGATGTTAAGCAAGCACACAGGCTTAGACCTAAGGGCAGGCACTAACATCATAAATGCCTTGTGGATATGTCTACAACGTTCTTCAGCTGGAACAGGAAGCTAGGGCCCAGAGATGCTAAAAAAAAAAAAAAAAAAAGGGCACATTAAATCACCAACCCTACAAAACAGTCTTCTATTATGTGCCGTCCCTGCCATATTCCTGGACCAAGGCTTCTGAGAAGTTTCCAGTTGTTCATTACATTAAGGAAAGTGTCCCCTTTGCCACCCTGTCCCTATTACCATCTTCTGGTCCCAAAGTCCCATTTACCTGACGTACGTTTTAACATTAAGAAGAAATTAATGACGTCTGTTGAGCAAGTCCTATTGCCAGGCACCTAAAGATGCCTTTGGGGAATGGCTTGACAGCAGCTGCCAATTACTGGATCTGAACTCTTTTTCTGTTCCCTTTGCTCACTACGGACTCCAGTACTGAGAAACTGGACTGCATCACCTTACCTCTGAAGGCTCTGGGGAAATAGCATATGTTAAGGTTTGAAAGGGAAGCATTCCTATAGGCACAGAGCTTGAACACTTGGCTGCCGGCTGCCTGTGCTGATATAGCAGCAGTTGAACCTGCAAGAGGTGAGATCTAGATGGAAGAAGCAGGCCACTGGGGGCAGGCACTTAGCAACGGTATCATCTCTGGCTTCTTCTGCCGTGGTCCTGATCCCCACCTCTGATGCTGCCTTACCAGGATACATTGTACACCCAGTGGGACCACACTCTTCCTCACATGTCTCCTCTTACTGGACGCAAATTAGTTTGTGTGTGTAGTTTATGCCTGTGTGTATCTCTGTGTGTAATATATGCCTGTGTATGCAGTCATGTGTGTACACATATGTGTTTGCATGTAGGGGCCAGAGGTTGACATCAGGTATCTTCCTATATTCTTTCTTGTTTTTTGAGACAGGCTCTGCCATACAAACTGGAACTTGCTAATTAACTAGACTAGCTGGCCAGCAAGACAGAGGGATCCTCTCCCATGCTGGGATTATAGGTGCCCAGCTCTGTGTACACCTTATGTTTGTATGCTGGGATCTATAGTCAGACTTTCATGCTAATACAGCAAGCTTTACCACTGTGTCTAAATTGATAACTGGTTACTTAGAAGCAAATACCATTTCCTGTAAATGGAGCTGGGGATCCTCTAACAGTAATAGTGTTTGTGTGTTTGTTTTTATATATGAAACCGTTGAACTCGCTGAGGACTAGACCCCGATAGCCACTGCTTCATTGCACACCTGCCCAGGAACTGATGAAGGGTTGAGGAGGAAAGCAAATGTACTCATAGAGGAAGCCTGGGATGGTTGTGGGGGCTCAGATACCTACCTTATCCTCAGTGACAAGTTCCTGTCCTGCCAGCCTCTGTGCACGGTACAGGAGTACTGGCGGTTACCATACTGGGATACTTCCACGCAGCCTGAGAATATCAGTCCCTTCAGCCCCTCCTCCTGAACTCCTCTGACACTCCAACGACATTGGCTGATGCTATCTTTTCTTTTTTGTTTGGGCCCGTTCT